ATATATATATTCATACCTTCGGTGTATAGGGCGCAAGCAGATTTTGACATCAAATTTGGGGTAAAAAAGTGAGTCTTATACACCGAAAAATACGGTAATTAGATATGGTTCAAAAAGGCAACAAAACAATGAAATTTAAGTATAACTAGATGTATACTGTTATGAGTTTAAAGCTACATAGGATAAATGTGCTGTAATACTTGGTATTTTTCTTTCTTCAGGGACTTACAGTATCATTGATACTGAAGAGCTCAGACAGATTGATCCATATGATGTTGGCAAGTATGAGAGGTGAGGTTTTCATATGTTGTAAATCATTGGAAAGCACAGATAGGAGTGATTGATTTTAAATAACATGCCCTGAGTGTTTTTAGTTTATTGGATTCAATACAGCTTTATAAGAAAGCTGGTATTTTCTATTCCAGCTGTGGAAAAATGATGCCACCTGAAGTGTAGGCCCTCTTTGTTCCCAAAACTACAAAACTTTTATATTTAGACTCGTTTGAGAAAATGCTGAATATACAAAATTCTTTATCACATTAGCTTGTACATTGGTTACAGTATTCATTGGTACAAGTAAAGTCTACCACAGTGTATATTGATACACAGAAATCTATCACAGTATGTACTGATACACAGAAATTTATCACAGTATGCATAGATACACATAAATCTAAAACAATGTGTTGATGCACAAAAATTTACCATAATATGTAATGATGCACAGAACTCTATCACAGTATGCATTGATGTACAGAACACAGAAATCTATCAAAGTATGTATTGATGCACAAAAGTCTATAACAATGTGCATTAATACACAGAACTTGCTATATTTTGAACCCACATATCAATAATTGTGTCATAATTTGCATTGGTACACAAAGGTCTTTCTTTTAAACTCGTATATTGTTTAAAATTTGCATTGGTATACAAGAACGTTGTTCCTTATTTGGTTTTGCAAGATCACAAGTCGGTATCTAGTTTCCTTCATTGTCTAACCTGACTTCAGAATTTGAAACAGTCATGACAGCTTACAAGACACACTTCTCGTGTGTGAAATTTGTTTTTCCAGTTTCTTTGTCACTTAAAAAGCATACAGTCACTTTTGACAATAGAGTCTGTTGGTCATTTTAAACCAGCAGTTTCACTTATTTACTTAGTAAACAGGACTGTCTGATCTTTAATCATGGAGTTTGCTGGTCATTTTAATCTCATAGTTTTACTTATTTATTTTGTAAACAGGACCAAAGTTTTGACTATGGAATATGCTGGTCATTTTTAACTGGCTCTTTTACTTATTTGATTTCCAAACAAGACTTGTTTGAGTTTTGATCATGGAGTTTGTTGGTCATTTTCATCTGTCAATTTTATTTATTTAACTTCTAAAAAAGGATTGTATGGATTTTGACCATGGAGTCTGTTTTTTCAAGTAGTAGTTTTACTTTCTAGAAAAAGGAATGTCTGATTAATGACATGTGAGTCTCTATTAACAATAAAACCTCAAGTCATTTTTGTAGACTATACTGCTGTAGTATCTTCAAGAAATTGTTGCTAACAAGAGTTCCATTGATGTTTAGCTGGAGGCTACATGAAGTTTTAAAACTTGCATTGCCTCTCATTCACAAAAATATGAATAAATATAGCATATCCCAAGTATCATTCCTATACAGATTTTGTCATTATTTTTGTTCAAAAACATTTCACAATAATCTTAAAATGTTAACATTTATTGTTAATAGTAAAAAAAAAACCACCCGTATTTCACACAATATAAAATTATTTTTCTATGACAAAGTTAAAATGAAAAGCTTGAAGTTTTTGTACCCTGGTGGGACAGCAATAAATTTACAGGCTTAAAGTACTAAAATCTGGGGTTTGATTCCCTACAGTGGACACAGCAGATAGCCCAATATGGTTTTTCTCTAAAAAAGCAAACAAACAAAGCTTGGTTCTGTAATGCAGTCATAATTTCTTCTGAAAGGTTAAAATCTGGGGAGTCATATTACAGATGAAACCAAGTAGCATGAGTAATGTAAATTCTGTGCTGGAGACTGAGTACCATGAGTAAATTATTTCTGTGCTGAAACCCATACTGGAGACTGAGTACCATGAGTAAAGTACATTCTGTGGTGAAACCCATGCTATGAGTAATGTACACTCTGTGTTGAAACCCATGCTGGAGAGCAAGTAGCATGAGTAAAGTAATTTATGGACTGAAACCCATGCGGTGAGTAAAGTAACTTTTGTGCTGAGAAGAAAGTAGCATGAATAAAGTAATTTCTTTGCTTAAACCCATGCTAGGGAGCAAGTAGCATGAATAAAGTAATTTCTGTACTGGAATCCATGTTGGAGAGCAAGTAGCATGAGTGAAGTAATTTATGTGCTGAAATCCATGCTATGCATAAAGTATATTTTGTGCTGAAACCCATGCTGAGGAGACAGTAGCATGAATAAAGTAATTTATGTGCTGAAATCCATGCTATGCATAAAGTATATTTTGTGCTGAAACCCATGCTGAGGAGACAGTAGCATGAATAAAGTAATTTCTTTGCTTAAACCCATGATGGGGAGCAAGTAGCGTGAGTAAAATGAATACCATTTTTGGCCCTTTAATTAATTACTAATATTTGAAAATGTGGTATTATATAATAATATACAGCTGTAAACAGGAACTTGTAATATTAAATCTTTTAAAGGTTTAATGACGTTTATCATATTCAAGTGAGTAGAATTATTAAAAGTAATTATTTTTCTCAGTCACAGCCAACTGATAAAATAAAAACGTTTACTTTTATTTTGGCATTGAATCATTTACATTGAAGTCAGTATAATGAAGTGAATTAGGATTATTTTTTTTAAATGATTTAAACCAGTTCTTTGTATTTTAAAGTTTGATTGTACTATAGTTACATTTGTTTGGTATAAGTGAGGAATTTCAACTATGACTTGTAGCTAGTGGTTGTTAAATGATATAATTTATTTATGTCAGAAGGCTAGAGCAATCCTAAGAACATTCCTTTTAGAAATGCTGGTTAAAAGCAAAAGTTGTATTTTTTCTACATAAAGTTCAAGGCACTACAACTAAATTTAATGGATCTTTTGTACCTAGTATGTTATTATTTTCATGATAAATAACTATGGATAATTCCCCATGTGTAACTAGCTTGTCGCATGTATGGAAAAGTTGTATTTTTTCTACATAAAGTTCAAGGCACTACAACTAAATTTAATGGATCTTTTGTACCTAGTATGTTATTATTTTCATGATAAATAACTATGGATAATTCCCCATGTGTAACTAGCTTGTCGCATGTATGGAACCCTGCTCAACAAGCTGTGAAACACCTTCAACAACAGTGGTACATCCCTCATGCTCATGCACGGTCAGTTAACGTACTTACAAATGAAGCCGTATTTCAAGGTATGTGTTCCAGTGCTTGAATTTAGGACTGATGGTCTTAAATCTGTAGAACTGTAATTGGTGGTACCTTATTAATATTTGTTAATTGTGAAAATTAAGTATAATGTAGAGATGGTCATGCCAAAAAGTACAGAATCAAGGAAGGGATGAATCCACAAATCCATACATAAAACCATACATAAGTAGCCAGTAAGTACTGAGTCAATCTTACAAGCTTATGTTTATGAGCCACTGTTATTAGCCATTTAATTTAAATGCATTTATTCAAACCTGGATTTATGCAATTGACGGGAATTCAACATTTAGTTGTAGATAAAAGTTATTCTTGGAAAGATTTAGCTACTTATGTAGTGATTTTTATATGATTTTGTGTATTCATCCCGACCTTGTTTCTGTGCTTTTTGGCATTGCCATTCCTACATCATACTTAATTTTTGCAAAAAAAAATTTTATTACTTGTTTCTCCTCTTGTTTTTTTTTAATTTCATTGAAGTAGGTTGATAAGTGAATACTTGTTTTATTTTTATAATTCAGTGATAATATATATATATATTGTTAATATCATACCAGTTTTATTAGTTTGTTTATTGCACTTATAGAAAGACCTCAGATACTGATATTATAACATACAATTGGCTACAATAGATTATTAATCATCACTGATCATAATCTTGACTTCTTGGGACTCAATTTTGAGGAACCTACAGTAAGGATAGAAGATATGAAAAATGTATGATGTATCATCCCTATATTCATGTTTGCATCTTTTTGGTTCTGCCATCCCTACATTATTGTACACAATTTTGTCGTTTATTTTGTGATTTTTTTCCCAGACTGAAAGTTAGTGTATTCTGTGAATGTGTGTAATAAAATTTAGTGTTACGTGTATTGATTTTTTTTTTGCTCCTTCACTTCATACATAATATAGGAGTTGGTTCCCTAAAGACACCAATTGTATAGTGTACAAAGCATTGAGTATTCTACATCTTACAGTCATCTAATGTTCATATATTATTGGTTAGTAATTCCCGTTTCACCCTGTACTTAAGCTTTTTAAAGGAACACAAGATTTCTGTAAGAAAGCTAACTCTAAGGGGTAATGATGGCATTGTTTACACTAGAATTATGATTTTTTCTAGCTTATCTGAAGCACTATCATGCTTAGTGATAGCCTGTTCCCAAGTGCCCTTAAAATGCTTTTCTGTTGTACTAACGCAATTGCGAAAATTTCATACACTTCATTGGCTAGTGTGGGAAAAGAAAGATGAACACTTTGGCTCTTTAGCTAGTTCCAAGTTCTCCATTTTAGCAACATGATATTGGGGGTCTCACAAGCTGTAAAACACTTGATAATGGCAGTTAGATGCTCAATTAAGGCTATAATTCAACTTTAGCAGTTACTTGTAGTAAGCATCATAGAGTAATAGATTTAATGCGGCAGCCATTTTTTTCCATTCCATCCTTACATACTAAGCACAACCGTGCCTAATGATAATTACTTGTAATAGAGATGTTATATATATATATATATATATATCAATTGGTGGTTTCACAAATTCAATAGATAGATCCAGATGAACTCTTTCTATAGGTAGGTCAAAGTGTGCATGTCATGAATTTTTAGTTACATTCAACATTTAATGAAACTATTTTACTATCAATGTTTACAAATAAACTTAGCATCAAAGTGTAGTTAATAAACAAAATTTTAATATTACATAAGTTTTAATTTCTTAATTTTATAAGGAAATATTTAAGAAAATCGTCAATCTTCCCTAGTATGAGAATTGTGACATTTGTTAACTACGTTTTCTCCTTCTCTTATTTACTTACCACCCCTCTGAAAATACATAACGTAACATAAAATACTCATCATAATATAGATAATACTAAGTCAAAGTCAAATTTTTATAGCCTACAACCTTATTTCCTTACGATTCATAAACTAGAAAACAGACACATATGCAACACACACGTCACAAATTGCCAATAATTCTTCCAAACGTTTTATACTATATTAGGTATGATCAATAGAAAGGCAAAGTTTTAATATATCACATTATGTATTATATTACTTACATAGTATTGCCTATTTCATCTTCAGTTTGAAAGTTTCTCTTGCAGTGTTCAGATAGACAAACTTAGGGAAAGATTTAAAGGCCCTTAAACCATAGCTAAAAATTCAGTTAAATTATATTACCTATAGGACATTGTTTGCTTTGTGTGTGTTATTATACTATGTTCTTAGGTGCATAATTGAAGTAAATAAAATTATTTAGTATTATTGGTATAAAAAAGTAGGCTTACAGGTTGGTGATATATTTCTTGCTTTTCAGGTATATTCTTTATTTATTATTATAAAAGTAACTGAAATGTGACAATTAGAAACTTAATAGGCTATATAAGGTTAGATTAGATAAGATAAAGTATGCTTGCAAACAGCTCAACATCGTAACATGATATATGTGTTTGCCAAGTGATTGTCAATTTGTGTGGCAGGATTATTAGTATAAAAATAAATAAAATAATACAATTAAGTATAAACAGATGTATACCATTAGGAGCTTTAAGCTATCTAAGATATACAATTTGTTCCAATTTGCAGTCATTCTAGAAAGATAAAAAGGTAACTTTCATATTTGTTTTACAGTGGTTACAGAGTGCATATAGTTAGAGTAGAGAATATAACAGATTTACTGAAAAAAAAAAAGTTTCATATTTATTAAGTAGGTTTTAGAGATTATGCAAAGGAAATTTGAAAATTTTCACATCAAGAAAAGTATTTTTTAATCTTAACAAGAAAATTTCTTTGTACTCATAGTAGTCAACACTACGGCTCCATATATTCACAGAAAATTTTTAGGAAAACTAGTTAATTAAAACATCTGATGTTTTGTGTACAAAATACTTGCAATAATTACTGAAAACTTCCCAAATTTCATTAAAATACACATTCCATATTTAAAGTTCAATTATGGAATCTCTGATGGTTACTTTTGGATTAAAAGATCGGTTTATGCCCCTGTGGGACGTTGGTAAGTGTATGGACTTATAATGCTAAAATCTGGAATTTGTTTCTCTGTGGTGGACTCAGCAGATGGCCCAGAGTGTCTTTACTATAATACAATCATCTGCCAATCCTGTTTGGAAAAAGTTAAGTTATATTCTACAAGTTTAGTAGATAGGTCCATATTCAGTTGACTTCAGTTGTATGATTTTATGAGTTTAGTAGATAGGTCTGTATTAAATTGACTTCATTATTATGATTCTAATAGTTTAGTAGATAGGTCCATATTCAGTTGACTTCAGTTGTATGATTTTATGAGTTTAGTAGATAGGTCTGTATTAAATTGACTTCATTATTATGATTCTAATAGTTTAGTAGATAGGTCCATATTCAGTTAACTTCAGTTGTATGATTTTATGAGTTTAGTAGATAGGTTCATATTCAGTTGGATTCAGTATTATGATTCTACAAGTTTAGTAGATAAGTTCAAGTTATTTTTATCAATTCTATTCTCCTGGATTATGTTGACTATAGTTAATGAATAGGTTCATGCTAAGTTTATCAATTCCACTCTCCTTGATTATGTTGACTATATTTAATGAATAGGTTCATGCTAAGTTTATCAGTTCCACTCTCCTTGATTATGTTGACTATAGTTAATGAATAGGTTCATGCTAAGTTTATCAATTCCACTCTCCTTGATTATGTTGACTATAGTTAATGGATAGGTTCATGCTAAGTTTATCAATTCTACTCTACTGGATTATGTTGACTGTATTTAGTAAATAGGTTCATGCTAAGTTTATCAATTCCACTCTCCTTGATTATGTTGACTATAGTTAATGGATAGGTTCATGCTAAGTTTATCAATTCCACTCTCCTTGATTATGCTGATCTATAGTTAATGGATAGGTTCGTGCTAAGTTTATCAATTCTACTCTACTGGATTATGTTGACTGTATTTAGTAAATAGGTTCATGCTAAGTTTATCAATTCCACTCTCCTTGATTATGTTGACTATAGTTAATGGATAGGTTCATGCTAAGTTTATCAATTCCACTCTCCTTGATTATGTTGACTATAGTTAATGAATAGGTTCATGCTAAGTTTATCAGTTCTACTCTACTGGATTATGTTGACTATAGTTAATGGATAGGTTCATGCTAAGTTTATCAATTCCACTCTCCTTGATTATGTTGACTATAGTTAATGGATAGGTTCGTGCTAAGTTTATCAATTCTACTCTACTGGATTATGTTGACTATATTTAATGAATAGGTTCATGCTAAGTTTATCAATTCCACTCTCCTTGATTATGCTGTCTATAGTTAATGGATAGGTTCGTGCTAAGTTTATCAATTCTACTCTACTGGATTATGTTGACTGTATTTAGTACATAGGTCCATGTTCTGTTTATCAGTTTGACTCTTCTGTATTATATGTACTATACTTATTCAATTAGTCCATGTTTTGTTTCTCAGTTCTACTCACCTCAATTATATTTAGTCGATAAGTCCCACTTATGTTTATCAATTCTACTCTTCTGGATTATGTTGACAGCTGCAGTGAGTTACTTCTCTGACGATATGAAGTCCATGTAAAGTTAAAAACAGTAATGAAAATTCTACGGGTTTGATTCACATATTTAACTGTTCTTTATATCTGGTTATGAAACAAATATAAAAGTATAAACTTTATCGATTTTTTCTATGCATAGGGTCTAATGTTTGTGACTTCAAAAAGTTAAACACTATTAAAATATGTAATGCTTTATTGATATATTAAACATTTTTTGTTTTGCTATGTTGCATTATTATGATTGTCTAATCATCAAGTTTAAAATGTCATTTTATTGAATGTAGCAATATTAGTTGTGTTTGTTGAAATGAATTTTTGTCAGCTTTTGATATTTAAAATATTTACTAAGTATGTTAATTACCACTTTTGAGCTTTGTTTGTCTTAACCATTCCAGGGACATCTAAAAAGGTGCTATGGGCCCCAGCTCATCATCTAGCTATTGTATTGTAACACAAACAGGTAAGTACAGATAACTTGAACAATTTAGACATGTAAAATTATCCATTATTGTGTTAAGGTTGTTTAATAAAAAAGCATGGAGTTATTGAAGTTAGTGCTTATAAATGAATTAGAGCTGGGCAATTCAGTCCATTAATCAATGTAATTGATAACGTGTGAGAAGTGATCACACTGAATTGTTTCACCTAAATTAATTGATTAATCAATTAGTGTTTCCAGTTATTACTGTTTCTGATATTTCCAACAGTCGATTAATTAGTGTTTCCAGTTATTACTGTTTCTGATATTTCCAACAGTCGATTAATTAGTGTTTCCAGTTATACTGTTTCTGATATTTCCAACAGTTGATTAATTAGTGTTTCCAGTTATTACTGTTTCTGATATTTCCAACAGTCGATTAATTAGTGTTTCCAGTTATTACTGTTTCTGATATTTCCAACAGTCGATTAATTAGTGTTTCCAGTTATTACTGTTTTTGATATTTCCAACAGTCGATTAATTAGTGTTTCCAGTTATTACTGTTTCTGATTATTTCAACGATGGATTAAGCAACATTCTGATTATATTAATTGTCATGAATATAATCAACAAAATGAAATTAAGGTTTCCAGTTATTACTACTTTTGATTAATTTAAATGTTACTTCCAAACTTTCTTACCCTGTCTTTGTTGTTGCAAAGCCTACTAAGGCTGATTTGCCACTATTACTGATTTTGAGTTGCTGACTAGAAAGAATGCAACTGTGTGGCAGCACTCATCTCTGACTTAATTGTAGTTGTTGAACTGCTGACTAGAAAGAATGCAACTGTGTGGCAGCACTCATCTCTGATTAATTGTAGTTGTTGAACTGCTGACTAGAAAGAATACAACTGTGTGGCAGTACCCAACACCAACTTTTTGTTGTTGTTGAACTGCTAACTAGAGGGAAGGCAACTGTGTGGCAGCACCTGTCATCACTCGTTTTTTGTTATTGTTTTTTTTGCTTGTGGACACCTAATCGATTAATGGAGCTATTGATTACTCAGACAGCAATAACTGCCCATTTCTAAAATTAATTAGGTATAATTTGTAAGCTCAGTAATCTTTTGTAATAAGTTTAATTAATAACAAAACACTAAAGTTTTGAAAATACTGTTATAAATGTATTAGGTATAGTCTGAAGTCTTTGACTTGGAAAGTTTTGTTGTTATGAGGGTTTTACTTATTAAATTGCCTCACATGGTCACATAGGTATCATATGACAAAACACGGTTGATCAAGGACTAATTACAAACCTGAGAATATAACTTGTCTGATGAAGTATGGTTGATCAAGGACTAGTTATAAACTTGAGAATATAACCTGTCTGATGAAGTATGGTTGATCAAGGACTAGTTACAAACCTAGGAATATAATCTATCTGATGAAATATGGTTGATAAAGGACTAACTATAGACCTGAGAATATAACCTGTCTAATGAAGTATGGTTGATAAAGGACTAACTATAGACCTGAGAATATAACCTGTCTAATGAAGTATGGTTGATCAAGGACTAGTTATTAAACCGGAGAATGATATCTGTCTGATGAAGTATGGTTAATGAAGGACTAATTGTAGACCTGAGAATATAACCTGTCTAATGAAGTATGGTTGATCAAGGACCAGTTATTAAACCGGAGAATGATATCTGTCTGATGAAGTATGGTTAATGAAGGACTAATTGTAGACCTGGGAATATAACCTGTCTAATGAAGTATGGTTGATCAAGGACCAGTTATTAAACCGGAGAATGATATCTGTCTGAAGAAGTATGGTTAATGAAGGA